CGGATTTTCATGTTTTTCATGCATTTAGTGCATCGGTTACTGCGCTAGAAATTCAGATTCAATTTAATGATTCCTTTATTGACACACGTACTTTTGTAGTGTTTTTATAAATATTTAAATTATATATATGAGGCAAAATTCCTGAAATGTCCGAACAAAAAATTAAAAGTTCTCGAATTTAATCCATACTTTTCTAAAATGTTGTTATTGTTGGTGAAAGTCTAAAAATCAATTATTATTAAATTTAATAAAATAGTTTTTGAATTACAAAGTTTTTAATTTTTGACTCTTGAAAAAAAAAATTTTTTTCAATGTACAATATTTATAAGTAGAATGTATAAAAGTTAACATATATATAATGATTTTTAAAGCTTTTTTGACGGGCTACACGCTGTTAATAAAAAATTTTTTTTTAAATAACATTTGACCTTGAAATTCAAGGTCAAAATGTTAATTTACGTTTATCTCAAAATCGGATTTTTTAAAATTATTTTTAACTATCTCAATGGAAAGCTTGACTAATTTCCTACAAAACATGTAATTTTCAGAGTGGGATCTTTTAAAGTTTTTGAGATATTAATTAATTAATTAATTAATGTTTATAACAAATCAAATATTTTACAAACGAATAAAGTTACCGTAATTCTGAAGTTAGTAGTTGAAAGTTAACGTAATTCCGCAACCAACGAGCCCTATATGAAGTATTTTGGATAAGTAGATTGTTAAGAAACAATTAGTTAACATTGGAATTGTTTCTTAACAATCTACTTATCCAAAATACTTCATATAGGGCTCGTTGGTTGCGGAATTACGTTAACTTTCAACTACTAACTTCAGAATTACGGTAACTTTATTCGTTTGTAAAATATTTGATTTGTTATAAACATTAATTAATTAATTAATTAATATCTCAAAAACTTTAAAAGATCCCACTCTGAAAATTACATGTTTTGTAGGAAATTAGTCAAGCTTTCCATTGAGATAGTTAAAAATAATTTTAAAAAATCCGATTTTGAGATAAACGTAAATTAACATTTTGACCTTAAATTTCAAGGTCAAATGTTATTTAAAAAAAAAATTTTTATTAACAGCGTGTAGCCCGTCAAAAAAGCTTTAAAAATCATTATATATATGGGGGATCTCGGGTGAAGTGATCAAAGTAAAAAAAAATTTTGTCTCAATTTCGCTCAAACTGGAGTAATTTGTACTTCTATTGGGTGGTAATTTATCGTAAAAAAATTTTTCAATTTGGACCAATATTTACTCGGGGGGAGGGGGTTGAAGTTTATGGGTAGCGTTTTCTTTAATAATTTTTTTTTCTTGAGTATCAAAAAAAAAAATTTTTATCAACATCAGTTTCGATAGCTTTTTTAATGCTCTTTCGATTGAGAACATGCATTTTTGAAAAAAAAAATTTTTGAACCAAAAAAAATTAATTTCAAAATTTTTTTTGACTTTTTCGGGGTAAAAGGTACGATTTTTTTTTTTTTTTTTTTTTTAAAGGAAAGCTGAGATTTTTTCCTGTAGGGACATGTAGTTGAAAAAATGGGACAAGAAAGATTAAACCTTGAAAATTAACATTTTTTATTCACTTTAGCGCTGCGCTGCGATCTACCACGTGACACATTAGTAGTATGGTATTTGGAGAGAAACATTAATGCTCTCTGCATTTTACAGGGTTGAAACTGTTATTGAGTAAATACCTGTATTTCATCAACGTTTAAATTTGGATAATAATAAATGAATAATAATTATATAAAGTGGAATTTTGGAAATTATAAAATCGGTTCAAAAATAAATGTAGCATACTAATAAGAGTTTACTTTATTATAGTAATCAGTCTTATCAAATAAATACTCATTTATATCAATTCATCATTCATTTGGTTATTAATTTATCCATTTATTTGAATATTTGACTGCAATGAGTCTTTATTTGACTAAGAAATAATATAAAATGAATATTTTTTTCATTAAAGTTTTCTTCATTATTCATTACTTACATTATTATTGATGGAGACGACTGCTTTTCCCCGAAAGGACAAAATGTCGAATGGACAAAATGTCGAATAGCAAAACGTCGAATGGACAAAATATCGAAAAGCCAAACTGTCGAATGGACAAAATGTCGAATAGTCAAAACGTCGAAAGGTCAAAATGTCGAAAAGTCAAGACGTCGCATAGTCAAAACGTCGAATAGTCAAAACGTCGAAAGGTCAAAATGTCGAAAAGCCAAGACGTCGAATGATTGAAACGTCGAACGGACAAAATGTCGAAAAGCCAAAACGTCGAACGGACAAAATGTCAAATAGCCAAAACATCGAACGGACAAAATATCGAATCGCCAAGACGTCGAACGGACAAAATGTCGAATAGCCAAAACGTCGAATAGCCAAAATGTCGAAAATCCAAGACGTCGAAAAGTCAAAACTGCGAATGGACTAAATGTCGAAAAGTCAAGACGTCAAATGGTCAAAATGTCGAATGGACAAAATATCGAATCGCCAAGACGTCGAACGGACAAAATGTCGAATAGCCAAAACGTCGAATAGCCAAAATGTCGAAAAGCCAAGACCTCGAAAAGTCAAAACTGCGAATGGACTAAATGTCGAATAGTCAAGACGTCAAATGGTCAAAATGTCGAATGGACAAAATATCGAGACGTTATTTTGCTCTGAGTTTCCCTTCTATATAATGCACACTAGTTTAACTGCTTAAAATTAAAAGTTTGTATTATTATTATTATTATTATTATTATTATTATACTATAATAATTACTTTACTACTACTATTATTATTATTATTATTATTATTATTATTATAAAAAAATGTAAAAAAAACATTATAAACAATACAACTAGCGATATCTATCGAGTGTTAAACGCAACACAAACTAGTGTGCATTATATAGAAGGGAAACTCAGAGCAAAATAACGTCTCGATATTTTGTCCATTCGACATTTTGACCATTTGACGTCTTGACTATTCGACATTTAGTCCATTCGCAGTTTTGACTTTTCGAGGTCTTGGCTTTTCGACATTTTGGCTATTCGACATTTTGTCCGTTCGACGTCTTGGCGATTCGATATTTTGTCCGTTCGATGTTTTGGCTATTTGACATTTTGTCCGTTCGACGTTTTGGCTTTTCGACATTTTGTCCGTTCGACGTTTCAATCATTCGACGTCTTGGCTTTTCGACATTTTGACCTTTCGACGTTTTGACTATGCGACGTCTTGACTTTTCGACATTTTGACCTTTCGACGTTTTGACTATTCGACGTTTTGACTTTTCGACATTTTGTCCATTCGACAGTTTGGCTTTTCGATATTTTGTCCATTCGACGTTTTGCTATTCATTTATTATTATCCAAATTTAAACGTTGATGAAATACAGGTATTTACTCAATAACAGTTTCAACCCTGTAAAATGCAGAGAGCATTAATGTTTCTCTCCAAATACCATACTACTAATGTGTCACGTGGTAGATCGCAGCGCAGCGCTAAAGTGAATAAAAAATGTTAATTTTCAAGGTTTAATCTTTCTTGTCCCATTTTTTCAACTACATGTCCCTACAGGAAAAAATCTCAGCTTTCCTTTAAAAAAAAAAAAAAAAAAAAAAATCGTACCTTTTACCCCGAAAAAGTCAAAAAAAATTTTGAAATTAATTTTTTTTGGTTCAAAAATTTTTTTTTTCAAAAATGCATGTTCTCAATCGAAAGAGCATTAAAAAAGCTATCGAAACTGATGTTGATAAAAATTTTTTTTTTTGATACTCAAGAAAAAAAAATTATTAAAGAAAACGCTACCCATAAACTTCAACCCCCTCCCCCCGAGTAAATATTGGTCCAAATTGAAAAATTTTTTTACGATAAATTACCACCCAATAGAAGTACAAATTACTCCAGTTTGAGCGAAATTGAGACAAAATTTTTTTTTACTTTGATCACTTCACCCGAGATCCCCCATATGTTAACTTTTATACATTCTACTTATAAATATTGTACATTGAAAAAAAAATTTTTTTTTCAAAAGTCAAAAATTAAAAACGTTGTAATTCAAAAACTATTTTATTAAATTCAATAATAATTGATTTTTAGACTTTCTCCAACAATAAAAACATTTTAGAAAAGTATGGATTAAATTCGAGAACTTTTAATTTTTTGTTCGGACATTTCAGTAATTTTGCCTCATATGCACTAAGTGCATGAAAAACGTTAAAATCCGCGAATCTTCAAATACGATTTTCTCCGTTGCTTTAGCCTATTGCGCCTTAGCATTTTATGAAAAAAGTTCAGTCATATGACCCTACTAGAAGGCATAAAAAAAAAATTTTCAGAGAAACATTGCTTGCCCTCCCCTTGTAAGTCACAAAATTTTATTGTTAAGGAGTATAGTAAATTTATAATGTTTCTTCAACTTCCTCCCGAAATTTAGAAACCCTCCCTTAAAATTTGGATCCCCCGAAATGTTTTTTGCGTACCACCCTGATTCTGTAAGTTTAGTGATAAATTCGTCTTCAATGAATATTAATTTATTGAAGAAGACAAGTCTTAAATTATTATTCTATTTTTCCTCAAAAAATGACAAGAATTTCAAAATTGCCAAAAAGTGAATAATTTTAGTGGTTATTTATAATTTTTAGACAAAAAAAGTTTTTTTTAAATTTGTTTTTTAGAGTTACTAAACCTTAAGAATGACAGATTCCATTTGTTTTACACAATCCCTTCTGGCTTGTTTTTATTACCTTATTCAGTTAATCATTGATATTTAACAACGATTTTTGAACTATTTTAACTTAATTGGTCTCACCCTTCAATGACTTTACTTAAAAACATGTTCGATATTTTTATCAATAGAAGGGAAGCAGCAAATTTGAATACATGTCTATGGCTGCTCAAGTTTTTCAGCTCTGTGTTTATATCTTTTGCATTTTCTTTGCAAAGAATGATTTTCAATGATTTTAAGAATTATGTAAATAATAATATTATGCTGTTTTGTAGGAATATAAAGAATATCGAGATGCGGAAGACATTATGCCTCTTGCAACAAGTGATTTCAAAACTCCAATTTGTCAAGAACTAAAATCACTCAGAGGAAGTAGTCTGGAAAATAACTGTTTTGATGATTTACAACTGTCTCCTGTTCCGATATTAGAACCAAATATATGCATTAGTAAAAATAATTACAACGAACGTGGCAGTGTGGATAGTTCTGATACATATGCCAGCTGCCAGACTCATCCGTTTTACTCTCAAAGCGATTTAACCGAAGATGCAGACAGTAATTTATATGTTAATCCACTAGAAGGTACAGAAAAATGTAGCAACATGACAGTAAAAAAATCTGTGTCTGGCGGAGTAGCGCACTTTACTCTGAATATATCACCAAGTACAGATTCACTCAATGATATTAATTTGTTAAATAAAAGCAGTAAATTAAACATAAATGAAACAGTTCCAAAACATAGGAAAACTCGCACTCAACAGGTATTTATAATAACTTTGCTGTTGTTTTTTATTATAGTATAATGTTATTACTTTACATTAGAAACACTTATTATATAATTTTATAACCAATATAACAGTAAATCAAAATCTTTTTTTTATAATATAAGATTTAAGATAACAGTATGTTTTTATTCATTTTATACATGATTTAATGACTTTAATTTGAATAACATTATATTTACGTACTTATCTTTAATCCTACAATTAACCATTAAATGAAGACAGAAAATTCTCTTATTTCAAATAAAACAATGATAAATTTATAAAATACGATTACGGTGGATATTACATTAACAATAAGTATAAGTACCCTTAAATTAGAGTAAAAGTAATAAGTTAACGAGGAGGAATAAAAATTGATCTAAACAGGCTATGCATCTAATAAGCACGCTGTTTCTCTCCACCCGAGAGACCATTTTTCCATGGATCTCTAAGCTCGAATTATTTATTTATTTAATAATATGGCATCCAAATGATGAGTGCATATTCGAGTATACTTCTAACGAAAGTGAAATATACTGCCGTCCTGATGACGAAAGTCGGTAATTGACATTTTTATCAAAAATGAGTTTTTTATATCACTGGATTCGTTATGAAAAAAGGAATCTAGCTGTAGTAATCATAATTAACAATATTAATTAATTTTGGAGATAATTAATTATTAATTACCCTACTTTCGCGAAATAATTCCTACAGAGTCGGTACTTGGAGACAAAATAGTCGGTACTTGCTCTTACAGCTTCAAAATGATGACGTATGTACGTACTTTCCTTGAAGCACAGTCCGCATTGGCAAATACTGCCAGGAAATGTGGTCTGATTTGATTCGACATCCTAATACCGATGGGCAGTATCGCGAATACCGACTCTTGCCTCAAGGATTTAAGTCGTAGAAAGACCAACTTTCCTTGTAAAAAGTCGGTACTTGCATTTCTACATAATAGTTATATATAATAATTTATGTAATATAATTTATTTAATTAAATAATTATCATTAATCTAAAATAATAATTAAATATATAAATGAAAATATTAATTTTAATCAATTTATTTGTAACAATTATTATTTTTTACAATTCTGTATTATTAAATAATAATAAACAAAAATAATGGAAAATAGAAAAGCCTAATAGTTTTTGGATATAGTCACAAGGTAAAATATACGTACAGGCTGCAATTATACCGACTCTAAAACAGTGACGTTTTGCCGGCAGTAATAGCACATACCAACTCTTGAGCAGTATTTGCAGGATTTTCAAATCAATTTTTGTCAGTAATCGACTTTTTTATTATAAAAAATAAAAATTTCTAAAAAATTTTAGCACCATTGAATAGAGCATACCCAAATTAGTTAATATCGATTGTAATTATTTTATTATGTTTTAAATATTAATGCTGCTCGTTAAAAATACGTTTCTTTAAATATCTCAAATTCACTCTGAATGCGAATACCGACTTTCGTCATCAGGACGGCAGTATAGTACTCTGAGGGTACGCTCGAATTAGAAATGTCTGTGCGGCAAATTTTTGAAAAGGTTTTATTTAATATTTATTTAATATTTTTGTAACATCTTTGATGTTATCGGATAACATCTACTTTTGATCATCAAAATCTTTCCATCCATTTCTCTCAGTAAACGTTTCTATTAAACAGAACATATCGTAAAGTTCACTATCCTGAAAAAGTTTTACATCAAATACCTTTGTATTAATACCGCGAACATTTTATTAGCATAAAGAATGCATAAATTTAAATTTATCTGATTCTAAGTTCAATTCCGAGACACGCTGACAGACGTAGCCTTCTTTGGTGTAGATACAATAGTATGGAAACAGCTCTGGTAACGTACAGGTAGTCCCCTCTCTTCCTTCACTACACGTTCGTTTAATTCCTTTTTCAGTGTACTAATTTAAGATTGTAATGCTCATAGATGGCCAGTTCGTTGGAAGTCGTTTGAAAGTTTTGGACGGGCAAAGGCACGAACAATTTCTATCGGCATGTGTGACGGGTTAATAAATTAGTTAATAACCACTTATTAATTTATTATTAAAAAGATTATTATTTATTTAAAATGAGTTATAGTTTACACTTAATCCGTAGACTTAAGAAGTAAGATCCTGCTCGTAAGAGGGTTTTCTTATTTTTGATTTTCGCAATTTTAGGATAGATTTTGGAGTTTGAATTGTACAGTCTTCGTCGCTAAAAAGTAAACTTGCAGCGTTGAGTTGAATTGTTTGTGTTTGTGTTCCACACCATACACTAAGTTCGAAAGGTGTCTCTGGGACCAGAATATACTTATTAGGATCTTCCAGAGGAATAAATACAAGTTCTAAAATTCTAAAAACAGAGAATTGACATGTTTGTTCGTTAACATTTTTGTTTTGACGCCGAATGATGTTTGTTTTACAGGTCTGAGTTTCACTGATAAGATACGTAGGCTGAGTTCTTTTACAAATGCGAATTTCGTCGATTTCTTTACATAACTTTAAGGTATTAATATCCGACGGCACATACATGTTTTTTCAAAGTTTGCTAAAACAACCTCGTGAGAAGGAATCGGTGCATTAAAACTGTTTCCGCGAGGCATAGGAATAGGAATCAAATGTAAAGTTTGCAAATCTTCGTATTCTAATAAAGGAACTTTTACTATGTACACTAGGGTCTTATTGATGATGCTAATTGTTATTTCCGAAATATCAATAATTTGTTGGTAATTTTCACCAGTTAGTTGTATGGGGTATTTTTGATTATTTTTTTTCTATGTGTCGTAATTCCTGTATTAAAATCCCTGGTGTTAAAATCTGAGGATGGACAATTCCGTGTTTACCGTCGTTTATTGCGTCAATTATTAAATTTAAATCTTCACCATATTCGGCTACGGCAATTTCTGTACCAGATATAACATTAGTTATTACAATTTCTTTGCTGTTTTGGTTCGTCGAATTGATTAATTGATTTAATTGTTTCATTCGAGTTTGAGTTTCTGCATTAAGTGTCATTAGGTCATGTGAGGCACTATTCAAAAGGGTTTTGATTATTCTAGTTTGGTTACCTATCGATTAGACCATAAAGTTACTATCTTTGTTTATAGAGTCAAATTCACTATTCATAATTTGCAAATCCTGATCATCTAATGTGCCGAACAAGGTTTTAGAAATAGATCCCATGAAATTGAAGAATCCTCTACGAACTCGAGACTGTCCTAATATGTGGTGTAGTAAAATTCTTGAAGTTTCTAATCGGCTGAGTCGGTTTCTGAGAATTGTTAATTCATATTTCTGTGAACAGTTATTACATAAAGTGGATGCCTGCGAATATAATTTTACAATTTGCGAAAGTCGTATGTCAAAATTTGTAGTGTGTATTTTCAAAATTAATTTCCAAGTTTCATGATACAATTTTGTTATCCCTAAATTTTCTGCGTAGACAGTAGACCCCTCTAGGTCCTTTAGATGAACATCTGCTACTATCCCAGTTATTAATGCAGCCCACAGTATTATCCTCATGGTTTCTGTAATTATGTATAGTATGGTTTTAATCTATTGGAATGAATTAATTGTCTACCATTTTTAATCAATATTTCATAATTGTTATTGTTCTTAACACTAATAACAGTGGCGGGTCCTTTCCAATCAGCACACAATTTATTAGACTTAACATTTTCAACTAATACTAAATCACCTACTTCGAACAATTTTTGGGGTATGACAATCTTCCCATCTTGTAACCGCTTGTTCTTTTCCTTCGAACTTTGAATTTTCCTCTTGGCTTCTCCTATATATTTTTCATGTCTTTCTTTCCAGAGTCGAATTAATTCTGAATATTTAAGACAAGGGGTTGTGGCGAGTAAAGAAGGTAAATTTGCGTCATGACCAAAAGTTAGATTGAAAGGGGTGAATCCTGTTCCTTCGTGAATCATAGTGTTGTAAGCCATACATATGAATTTTAAAGTATTGTCTCACTCAATCATATTGTCAGCCATGTTGGTTCTAATCAAGTCCTTTATAGTTCCATGTGCTCTCTCCAATGCGCCGTTACTTTGTTGGTGTAAAGTAGTAGTTTTGACATGTTTAATGCGGAATAAATTTTCAAAATTTTGTACTAGCTCTGACACAAAATTTTGACCTTGATCGGTTAGAATATGTTTAGGAGAACCGAAAATATAAATATAGTGATCAAAAAGTGCTTCGATAATTGATTCTGAGGTAACATTTTTTAATGGTATCAAAATTAAATATTTCGTCAACATGTCCTGTATTGACAAAATATATTCATTTCCGCGAGCAGTGACAACAAAAGGTCCAAAGATATCCATAGCTATTTTGTCGCTGGGGTTAGTCGGTGTATCAGGAATGATTGCTTCCGCTTTTGGCCTGATTCGTTGCAATTTATTAATTTGACATACGTGGCATTTCTTAATGTAGTCAATAATTTCTAATTCCATATTATGCCAACTTCCCAGTTCTCGTGCACGTGCGATGGACTTATTCTTTCCAAAATGTTGAGCCATTACAGACCCGTGACACTCTTCGATAATTTGTCGACGCTCTTCTTGGGTTAACTCTGTTGTTGCCTTGAAACATGTGTGGATTTTCAAGGTTGGATACTTGTGACTTTTAAAATTTATAAGGATTTTCAGCTTAATTCTTTCTGTTGAGATTATCGTTGGATCATCGAAATGTAAGCGTAATATGACCAATTTTTTTCTATTGCTTCCTGTGTGATTTTATCTAATATTTGTAACCACACTTTTTCATTATATTTCGGTAATATTACGAAATTTACGTCTGTTATCGTTCGCTGTTTTGAGATTCTTCTCCAAAGTTTTCCTGGTGCATTTGGTTTTTCAATTTCACGCGTTTCAGTACGTTGAGGGAACCATTTGTAATAATCTTTGATAAGTTGTTCATTTCTTAAATCTCGATCTTCTTGAGTGATTTCCTCTTCTTCATCTTCTGTATCAAATCTTAAAGGTTCAA